TTAATTATATTAAGTTCTATATATTCTTTAGATTCTAATATTTCTCTAAAGATAGATATACTTTTTAAGTAAAATTTAGAAATTATAGTAATTATAGTAATTTCTTTCTAAGAAATTCTATAGATTATTTCTAAAACCTTTTAAATCTTAGTTTTTCTAATTACTTTTAATTATTTTTTACTTTCTTTAGTAGATTTTTAATTCTTTTTTCTTTCTTTCTTAAGCTTTAGATATTAAGATAAAATATATCTAATTTTATTATAATTATAGTATTTATATTTCTCTATAGCTTCTAGCTCTATAGAGCTTATATATATTTTAAAAACTATAGTTTATTATTATTATAGCTTTCTAGTATTAGTAGAATAATTTATTTTCTTATTATAAGTTTATTAATAATATTACTAGTTATTAATCCTTATAACTATAGTTATATATTTATAAATACTTTTTAATCTATTTTTCTTATAAAGTTCTTTCTATACTTTCTCTTTAAATTAATTAAAATAGTAAAATATAGTATATTCTTTATTCTATCTAGTTTTTACTAATAACTAGAGATAGTAAGTACTAAAAGTTAAATATAATTCTTTCTAAATAAATATATTAATTTTATATTTTATTTTTTATTTTTTATTTTAAATACTAAAGATTTACTTAAGAATTTCTATAAAGTAATTAAAACTTATTATAATATTAATAGTTTATTAGTTTTTCTATTTATTAAGATATTTCTTTATAATAGGTTTAAACTAATTAAGTATAATTCCCTTAAGTTATAAATAAATATATATAATCTTCCTTTTACTAGTATTAAATATAATAAGAAAGTAGTTAAAGTATATTTAGAATTAAATTATAAATCCTTATAATTTATTTTAGATTTTATTAAATATCTTAAATAATAATAGCTTAAGTAGTTATTCTAGCTTTCTTTCTTAAATAATAATTATAGCTTAAGTCTAAAGATTAGTATATATAGTAGCTTACTATATTATAATATTTATTATATTAGCTAACTTCTAATAGATATTTATAAAATATATATTAAATTAATTAATTTAATCTTATAAAAACTATATTTCTTTAGTATAATTATTATTATTATTATTACTATTATTATTATTATTCTTATCTATAATATTATCTTTAATAATTAGAGTAAATAGATTATTATTAGTAATAGAAGTATATTATTATTAAGCTTAAAATACTATAGTAATTATAATATCTTCTTTATTATTATATAGTAATTAAGATAAGATAATTAGCTAAATAAGAGTTATTAATATATAATAGTTAGATAATTTATATTAGATAAAGATCTAGAATAAGTTAGAATTAAACTAATTAGATATTATTCTAAGTAGTATAATTAGATTATCTTAAAATATATAAAATAAGTTATTATTAATATATAAGTATTATAAAGCTAGTAATAATAGAAGTATAGATAATATTATAGTAGAGTTATAACTATATTAATAACTATCTGAAAGAGTATTCTAAGCTATAGAAATAAATATATATATATACTAGTATATTTACTAGAGTTTTTATAGAGAGCTTTACTTAGAACTTTATTTAGTTAAAGTAAAGTTATTTCTATTAGTAACTAAAATAGATTAGCTAAGCTATCTTATATATAACTTTATATAGCTAGATCAGAGATCTTTATTTATAATATTATTCTAAAAGTATAAAAAACTATATAATATATTCTATATTAGTTTTCTAGAACTACAGTATATTTATCTAAAAAAAGAATATAATAGCTTACTATTTCCTAATCTAAAGGATTTAGAAGATAAATAAAAAATAGAATTTTAAAAAAAAAAAAAGATTTTTAAAATAGATATCTAGTTCTTAGTTAAATAGAAAGAGTAATTATAAAAGTATAATAAATAAATATATAAGGATAATATAAATAATATATTATAACTTATATATAAATTTTAATTCTAAGGGAAAAAGCTATTATATTCTAAGCTAAATATAAACTTAAGAGCTAAGTATAGAAAATATCTATAAAAGAGAATCTAAATAAAATAAATTCTAAAGAAAGAACTATAATTAAAGTATTTTTTTTTTTTTTTTTTTTTTTTTAGCTATAAGTAAGATTATTCTAAGATTAGATATAATATATAATTAGATTTATTATATAGAGTTTTTTTTTATATATAAGATTAATAGTCTATATCTAGATTTTCTATAGAATAAAGATTAAAATAAATATACTTTTATTCTAAATATAGATATTAATACTTTAAAAACTCTAATAATAGAAGCTATTTATATAGCTAGATATATAAATCTAGTTATAGTTATAACCTCTAAGAGAAAAAACTTATTATCTATTAATAATAATTATTCTTCTATATTTATCTTAATTAATTAATTATATCTAGTAAGTATTTATTACTAATAATTATTATAAATAATAATTATAATAATAAAATAAATATAATTAATATATTAATTTCTATTAAAAAAAACTAAATTAATATAAATAATCTAGCTTTTTAAAGAATAATAATAATTATTAGTTAATAATTAAAAGAGCTATATTTTAAATATATTAAGTTTTTAAACTTCTAATTAATTAGAGAGTTTCTTATAATAATATAACTACTTATAGTATAATAGATCTAGTAACTATATCTACTTAGACTATCTCTATACTATAATAGTTAGTTATTAGATACTAATAATATACTTATTAGGAATAAAGATTAACTAGATTAAGAGCTATAGATATATCTTATTAATAACTATTCTATTATATATATATATTCTAATCTAATATATTATTTTTAGTTTTAGTATATTATATACTATATTAAGATAATCTATAAAGAGATAGTTCTTATTTAATTAATTTTTATTTATTTTATTCTATTAATTTTAATTAGAGTTTAGATTTAAAATTAATTAAACTTAGTATTAGATAAGGTTTTATTATTAAATAGGAAAAATAGTTATCTAGAAGTTAATATTAATTTATCTTTATAAGTATAGTATATATTTATTATAGTAAAGTTCCTAAGATCTATATAGAGATATATTTTAATCTTATATCTATTTATCTATATATAGTTCTTTTTAATAATACTAGGATAATTAAAGTATAATAATAAAGTAATAAAAAGAAATTTTAATTTTAGCTTAAGAGTATAATTACTAAGAGCTATAATATCTAAAATTCAGATACTCTTTATAATATCTCTAAGAGATTATATAATAAAAAATAAAGAAAAATTTATAGAATTATAAGAGAATTACTAAAGAGTTAAAGTATTTATTATTACTATTTAAACTATTTTAATTACTATAGAGAATAAGTTAATAATCTAGATATATCTAGTTATCTATTTATCTACTATCTCTCTATTCTTATTTTATAGGTTATTTAATAATATCTTAAAAAGAGAGTATTTATATTTTACTACTATTTATTATTAGATAGTATAATAATAGTTATATAGACTAAGTTAGAAATAAAGCTAGTTATTCTAAGCTTTTTAAACTCTAGTAAGCTAATAAAATATTAATAAAGCCTAATAAAATATTATATATATACTTATAGTATTAAAGAGAAATAGCTAGATTAAGAACTATAGAGTAATATAATAATTTACCTTCTTAGTAAGATAAGTAAATAGAAAAGCTTAATAATATATTAATTATAATTAAAATAAAATATAATAGATTATAAATCTATTAGTTTTTCTAAGCTCTATTTAAATACTAGTATAAATATATCTATATCTTAATCTAAATAAAGAATTTACTAAGCTAGAATAAAGCCTATATAATAAGAATATAAATATTATAGGAAAACTAAAAGAAATACTTATTCTCTATAGTCTTCTAAATAGAATTATAGAAGATAGTACTATTAGTTTTTATATACTTTCTATATACTTTATATAGATAATCTTAGATAAATATAAAATTATTAATATTACTCTTTATAATACTAAGAAGTTATTTTAAATAGAAACTATTAATAAATAGTATATAAAAATAAAAAAATATAAGAGATATTTATAAAGAAATATAGTATTTTTTATTTAATAATAATATATTTTATTTATTATATATTCTATTCTATTTTTACTTATTAATAAAAATAATTTCTATTTTATTAGTTTTACTACTTTCTTTACTATTTATTAGAAATAGTTATTTATTTAAATAATATTCTTTTAGCTTTTCTTTCTATAGTTTTTATTATTTAAGATATAACTTAATAGTATTTATATTATTATTATTATTCTATATTAATATAAGGGTTAGATATAGATTAGAAATTAGTTAAAAATAAAAAGTATATATTAAATTATATATAGCTTAATCTTAGAATAAGTTTTTATATATAGTAAAAATCTAAATATATATATATATATATATAACTTAAAAATTTATTAATTTTAGATTATTCTAGAATAAACTATAGCTTTTTAAAAATTATAGATTTTAATATAAAAAACATTTAGTTAAAAGAGATATTTAGTTAACTAGTATTAGATTATATATTTATAGATAGATAGAATTATATAGTTTTTTTCTATCTAAATTATATATTTCTAATACTTCTAGAGGAAATTATTATATAAATTACTATAGATTACTTCTTTAGGCTTAATATTTTTCTAAACTAGGAAAATAAGGTATATTTAAGGTAAATAGCCCTCCTTTCTAACTAATCAGGAGGGATTATATGATGCCTCGGTTCCAATAACTAGGGTGGCGACTTAGGTACTTACATAACGGAGAAGGTGGCATAGGTCGTACGGTACCATGCTGTTTCCGGCAAGGCGAATCGACAACGTTTGGCCCACGGTAATAAATTATAAATATAATGTAATATCTTTTGACGAAGGTGCAACGCATTCTCTCCTTATCAAAGCTGGATCTCACACAAAACTACTGTGCTCTTGGCCATCATATTTCGTGAAGAAGCAAGTATGCAGCGAAAGGTGACTATCAATTGCGATATGGGTGAGGGGTACGGGATTTGGAAAATGGTAGGTGCACCGAATCATATGTTATCCTGGCAGAAGTCTCATAACATCCAAATACAGGGCCCTGATGAGGATTTGATGCCTTTGATCGATCTAGCCAACGTTGCTTGCGGATTTCATGGTGGTGATCCAGTTGTTATGCATCGTACAATCAAGCTGGCAAAGCAACATGGCATTCCCGTAGGAGCGCATCCGTCACTACCAGACCGCGAGGGCTTCGGTCGACGACACATCGACATATCGGCATCGGATCTGTTCGATCAGCTTGTGTACCAGATTGGGGCTTTGGTGGGCATGTTGAAGGCCGAGGGTATGGCATTGAACCACATCAAGCCTCATGGTTATCTTTGGCGCATGTGTGAGGCAAGTGATGATCACGCCAGAGCCATTATGGAAGCGGTCAAAGTATTTGCTGTCCCGATACTGGTGATCTCAGGCACCAATCTGGAGCGCAAAGCCAAAGAGGCTGGCCTCCCTCACACACCAGAGTTTTATCCCGATATTCATTACAATGACGACGCGAAGTTGATGTCAATCTTGTACGAAACCTCAAGTCGGACTGTCTGTTCAGTTGTGCAGGCTAACAATATGCTGGCAGACGAGACGGACGAGTACCTATCGAAGATATAGAGTCAAAGGTGAGGAGAGTTATTCAGGAAGACACTGTAGTCGCCAAGTCTAGTAGGTCTGCCGTCAAGATGGGATTAGAAGGAAGAGACTTCAGCTGCTGCATTCACAGTGATCTACCACGTAAGTTGTTTATGCGCATTATCGTACTCATGACCGCAGGAAACGTCAGTGCTAACCATCTATAGACGCTATGGAGACACTAAAGGGCACCAGAGCTGCGATCGAGTCCTCGAAATGAGGCTCTGTTTGTTCAGCGCGCTGAATCGAAATTATCTGAGGAAAGATAACCTGCACCCTCGCCTAGGTTAGGCTTTAGTTATAGGAAAAGCAAATTGAATCTTACCTTAGAGCAGCAAGAAGGTGATAGACTATGCGTTCCTTCTGTTGATAGCGCTGGATAAAGTCACGTCAAAAATAGTGCCCTGATCTTGAGGGTTACTAGACCCTTGTACACCTCTGACCGAGTAAATCATATGATGGAGTCCGTTTGGAAATTCCAGACATAAGGTGAATTCGAATTATAGTTTAGAAATCATAGAATTGAGTATACATTTCGCGGATTCATTTTCCAGGGAATGTAGCTTTTACAGCACTTAATGATCGAACTCGCCAACTCTTCGCCGCTGCCGTCACTATCATAGAGGTACTGTAACCCTAACCCTGAATGACCAAATATCTTTTGGTAAGGGGGTAGTCGAAACAGACGAGATGCGATACAGCTCACAAAGTTATCTGCCAGTTTTTGGGGTGTACAAGCTTTTGAGAAAATACATAGCAACCGTCTCTTCGTGCTTCGGGGTGATGATTTGATTCTTCCTCGCGTCCCGAGCCTGATCAAGCTGTGAATAGTACAATGTATTTTGCGCTTCCCCGGGCGACCCGGAATGTTGCTAGGGACGAGCTAACCCTCATATGGCAGTGCGATTCGCTTATCAACTTACGTCAATTGTATCTCCCCACAGATTACGGAGTATTCGTTCTCAAACTGAGCCTTCTCCACAATCCACAGATCCGCAGATCCACCGCCATGACTCGTCACACCTCAGCGCGATAACGAGTTGGGCTCATGTGCTACGCCAAGTCTCAATCTGGATGTTGCGGGGTAGGAAGTTAGCCACAGGGTCGACGCCGTCAAGCTGGGTCAGGGTCTGGGGAGCAAACGAGCAGTGACCCCAGCCGAGGAATTGATTCTGGAATCTGGAGTGGTTCGTGACAGACACATCTCAGAAACGCCAGAGCCTGTGACTACGGGTAGGGTCTAAAAGTCGACCCCCCTCGCGGCGACAAATTGGCCACGACTCGCAAAAAAAAGTGACCTTAGGATAACTCGCAGCTCTAACCAAAGATAAAGTAGCTCGTTTTAATGCATATCCCTCATTAGATATAAACCTACCCTATACCTTAAGATGCTTATAGTAATAAATATTTAAGTATAAAATATAATATTTAAGTTATTAAGTTATCTATAAAACTATTAGGGTAGATTATTTAATTAAAGGGATATATAACTAAGCTAGTCTACTTTGTATTTAGCGGGGGCTACTAGTTATTTTAAGTCACTTCTTTTTTTGCGACTTGCTGCCGATTTGCTAGTCGGTGACCTCCCCTCGCCGCGAGGGCGATCGACTTTTAGACCCTACCCGTATACGATCGAGGCATCAAGGCAAGTCTCTGTTGCCTGTATAACAATTCGTCAGGAAGACTACCATCTTACTGGGTTTCTGCTTCTCATCCTCGCCATGGCTGAGCTAAGATCACGCAAGGGCTGCGCCAACTGTAAGAAACAGCGCCGCAAATGCTCCGAGGAACGCCCCCGCTGCAAGGGCTGCGTCAGGCGAGGGGTATCGTGCGAGTATCCTATGCGTCTGCAGTGGACAGATGTAGGTTTGTCGACTAACAACCGGCCACGGAAACGTACTACACGGCGGCAACCCAGCGTGTCGGCCGTCACATCTTCTAGCAGCTTGACCAGCGACATATGGCCCGCGGCGATAGGCAGTCATGGCGCGTCCGCGGTGGCGTCACAGTACCAATCTGCCCGAGACGATCCTGTTGACCTGCAACAAACCTTTGTGCGCGGCCAGGATCTTCCATCCGAGGGTGGTTCCCTGAAACAGGGAGCTGAATGTATACCATGTGCGACAGGTCCTGAGAATGGGACCGACGACGATAATGAAGACAACAACCGCCATTACAACAATAAGACTGCGAGTCCGGGATACGGCGCCGACGAGATTGCAGAGCAACGGAGCCCGAGATGGCGGTCCTTACTCATAGCGAACTTCCCGTACAGCATTGATAATGATCACGACGTTATCACCCCGGATGAAACCATCCTCGAAAATCATGGCTGGATGCTGGAAGACTGGTCTTTCGAGAGAGTGAACCCCGAATCCTTCAACTCTCTCGGCGAACGCATTGCTTTCACTTATTGGGTCAACTCTCTCTCCAGCCGAATGACGGCACGCGACTCTGACTCTAATCCGTACCGGAGATTAGCTTTGCTTGCAGGGTCGTCGCCTGTGCTTTTACACACTCTGATTGCTCTCGCTACCGAATACATGTACCTACATAACCGTGTAGCTCCGGAGGTGGTCATCAAGAGACACCAAAAGGCTATGAGGCTGCTTCGTGAGGCTTTGGAGCCATCGCAGTCCGCCATGGTCGCTCAGACCGCGGCAGGCCTGAATCAAGACGAGTCTGTGCTCGCCGCTGTACTAATGCAAGTAACAAATGCCGTCTTTACCGGAGGGCCTGGAGTCGAGGCTCACTTGCGATCGGCTAGATACTTCATGGAGCGGCAGGGTTATTTTGAAAGACCCCAGGACGAGTTCTTCCCCCGGATGATGGTCCAGAGATTCGCCGTACTCGATGTGACAATTGCACTTCTCCGCCACCGTCGTCCATATTCGCCGCCCAACTTGTGGTTCTTCAGCGCGAATGACCACTACGACCAGACATGTCCGTCGTTCTGCGACATGACAGGCTGTGCACAGCCCGTTCTGGTATTTCTGACCAGGATAGCCTTTCTCGCGGCCGATTTAGACGAGGAAGGCATTGATGAAGCCGACGCCCTCGACGAAGGTCTAATGTTGGAAATGGAGATGCGAAATTACGCCCATTCGAATGGCCAAGCTTGCGAGAACCGGCCTGAGTCACATCTTGACACTCTCAGTCAATGTTTCTATTGGGCTGCCCACCTCATCTTGCAACGGGCGGTGTTTCGCGATTCGCCGTACTCTCGTCGTGTCCAGCACACACTGTCGATTTTAACCAATCTCATCAAGTCTATGCCGCTCGGCTGCGGGCCCGACACGTCTCTGTCATTCCCTTTTTACATAACAGCCAGAGAGTATATCTCTGAAGAGCAACGGGAATGGGCGAGAAAGCGCAATCAGGATATAAAACGGATTTACCCAGGGCATTGTCGCACAACTCTGATGGCACTCTTGGAAGAAATTTGGGCGGCAATGGACGATTACTCCAGGACAACATCATCCCAGGCTTCCACCCTGGACGAGATCACCTCAGCGTTGGAACGAACTCGTGACTTTTGTATCATCTAGTGTACTATTTAACATAAATGTATCCGGGATTTTCAACGTAAAAGCATGATTGTATCGCCCGCTTCGGCCAAATCTCCGGGGTTTTTGAGAACCGCCTCAACCTTTCCGGCGGCGGGCGACCGAACAGTAATTTCCATCTTCATGGCTTCAAGAACCACCACAACGTCGCCCTGCTTCACAATGTCCCCCACCTGAACATTTATTTTCCAGACGTTACTAGTTGTGTCAATGCTCACCTTGATCAAGTTCTCGTCCTCAGCTATCGTCACGTCGTTGGCCTTCTGTCTGGAAACCTCCCACTCTTTGTACAGCTTCTCTTCAGCTTCGAGCTCGATTTGTGTGCACTTTTGTCGCAGCACCCGTAACGATTCCAGCTCAGAGCCTACTTCTTTCATTAACCGGCGGTATGCAGTCATATCGAAATGGGCAGGTTCGATTTTGATCTCATACTGCTCGCGTCTGAAACGTTGGACTATGTGGTCAAATTCCTCGCGAGATACCTCGTGAAAAATGATCTGGTCGAACGCTCGGAATAACCAAGGTTGGCCGCGAGAGAACCCCGGTTTCCGTCCGTATGTATCCCAACAGAGTCCAGGAATCGTTGCGCCCCATAGCCTAGGTTGATAATTAATCTCTGTTACATTCCTGACATCAGTTAAACATGGTCCTAGCTTACATGTGTCCGCCAGGGCTATGTCGAGTGGTTAACAATGGTCTGATTGGAAGCATGTATTGTAGAACTTACCCATCATTCGGATATATTGATGAGGACATTCCCCCAGTACCCAATGATCCAGCTTTGGTCCAATTGCGAGAGGGATTGAATTTCGGTACGACCAAGTGATCCCGAGGGTCGAGGGGGTTATAGATGGGCAATCCCATCAACCAGCCAACGACATTAACTAGCATGGGTTTCCCAAAATAGACTTCTTTGACGTCCTCCCTGGTCTTGAGCCCATTACTGCGCCTTATGAAGTCGATGTTGTCTGGAAGGAACGGCGCCGATGGCCTTTGGAGTGTCATATAACGTTCGATTGCCTCATGACACTCCCGTGGATCGAATAGTGCAGGTAGGTAAATTAAACGACTCGGAAGCACGACCTCGTCGACAGAGGGAAGACCATTCTCCAGTTCAATACAGCTTGTCACCATTTCTGCCTGTGACTTTGCGCGAGGATCGAATGGAACGTAGACTGAGCAATTACCGGCTACCAAGTTCCTCGGAGCCCCAGCAGAACTAAAAGCACGAGCGAGTTGCTCAACGCGTGCTCTGGTGCGCACACTGAAATCTCCATCAAACACACACAGGATAGCACGCTCACCAGCTTGACGTATACTAAACGTGCTGCTGCGGTGAAGGATGCCATCTCCGGCCTCTTCGGATGGGAGGGACCAATCCAATGGAACGGGAGAGCCGTCTTTCATGGCAGCCAAGAATTTGTCAACTCTGCCTTCGAGCTCAAGTGCCTGAGCCCATGTAATCGGAGTGAATTTGAACTTTTCGCCAGGGCGTAACTGGGAAAGTCTCCAAAGATCGTGTTGGGCAACGACCTGCGTAACGACATAACCTATCGGCAAGTTAGGATTATAGCTCAGCATCAATGCAACAGACATCTTACCAGTGAGATCCGGACCGTCGACAGCATAAACGATTCCAGAATCCCCCGTGAAGGCGACGGAACCGTTGGGCGCACCAAATCCAACCATGTTACTAGGATGACTCCCGCCCTCGCCGCCGTTGTCTCGCCCCCATTTTGGCGGCGGACCTTGCATCCGCATTCCTGTTCGATTCGAGTTGTGTGATAACTTGAACTCACAGTTGAACACATGGGCTTGTCCTTCTGGGCTTAGAAAAGGGGCAGAGAACCACGGACCTGGCAAAGCATAGAGCCCAGGACTGCGCTCTGGTAATGGGACACAAACCTCCGGTACTTGATATGGCTGGAAGCCCGTCTGAGAGCACAGAGGCTTCAGTGACAGGAAGTCACCAGCTCTTAGGCATCGGCCTTGAAAACCTCCCCAATTGAGAGTCGGAGCTGTGCTTTTCGACCCCAAGTACGTTGCAATGCTTGGAAGGCCACCAAGAATAGCAAGATAAGCCCTGGCACCAACTTGGGTACCTAAAACCTCGAGTTTGGACCCTGACTTGATGTAATGTCGCGTCCATGTAGCTATTGGCTCGTCGTTAAGCAGCATCTTGAATTGAGCTCCGCAAACTGCAAGTATCGCGTCTCCGTAGAACTTGAGGACAGGCCCGGTCATTGTGATCTCGAAAGCCTCTGTGCCCTCAGGATTCCCCACCAAGATGTTCGCCGCTACAGAGGTCAATAAAGATTATATATAAATACATATTCTTCAAGTCGCTCACCTCGGAAGGAAAGGGAGTCCATCGGCCCAGATGGCGGCACTCCGTGAGGGATTCCAACACGTCCTGGATAGTCTTGAATGGAAGTAAAAGCTCCGGGACTAAGAAACTCGATGGCGTTTGGCAAGTAGTTGAATCTCTTGGACAACGTGTTGGTCAGTGTGTAACCTGATTGGAAATCTGCATTATTCTTAGTCTGATGGCCAGTGCTTGCAGCATGCAATTCATACCGGCTGTTTGAAGAATCTGGACAAGGAACTCCATATTTGTAGGTGGGCCTTCCTTCTCGTAAGTTTGGTGTACCAATAGAGTGTTCGAGAGGCTACTGACCTTGAATCAAGCTGTCTCGTAAAGCTTCCTGCATTCCATCAATCGCACCATGTCGAGTTGTTGAGTGCACCATAACCTTAGCCAGCAGAGGGTCTGCCTCCGATTAGCAAATAGTTTCTGGGCATGCCTTGTTCTGTACTTACCGAAGGAGGGAGAAATATTGGTCCCCGTCTCAATCCAAGTGTCTACCCGCAGATGGCTGCCGGTCGGGAAGCTCACGTTCTGCAAGAGACCAGGAGAGGGCATGAAATCTTTGGCCGGGTTTTCGGCGTACACTCGGACTTCAATAGCATGCCCCGCAGGACCGTCACGCTGGAAAGCATCCAGGCTCATGCCGCCGTTTCGGTCGTCGGATAGGAGCTCTGCTCGAGCTTGAAGCAGCATCATCTCCACTATATCGACATTGTAGCAGAGCTCGGTAACGCCATGCTCCACTTGCAATCTTGTGTTCATCTCCAGGAAGTAGAATTGGCCGGTCTCGTCGTCAACGAGGAATTCTACCGTGCCAGCAGATTTGTACTTGACACTCTTAGCAAGCAGTACTGAAGCGCTCTTCATCTTTTCTCGAATTTCTGGGTTCTTCATCACGAAGGGGCTCGGTGATTCTTCAATAACCTTCTGGTGCCTTCTCTGAATACTGCATTCCCTCTCTCCAAGGAATACCACATCTCCTTGCCCGTTGCCGAAGATTTGAGCTTCGATATGTCTACCGTACTGGACATATTTCTCAATAAACATAGCTGCATTGTTGAACAAAGCCGTTCCTCGGCTTCTGACAGTCTCGACCGCTGCTTCTAATTCCTCGAGGTTGAAGCAGGCCTGTAAGCCCATGCCACCGCCACCAGCAGTAGCCTTCACCATGACCTAAGTCGGAGATTAGCCTAAGATCAGATCCATACGTACTATATGAATTCCGAACGATCTTGATCAGTCAAAGCAAACTCACAGGGAACCCTAATGACCTGACAGCTTCTTGAGCTTCTTCGAATGTGGTGATGATGGGCGTACCGGGCACTACCGGAACTTGGGCTTGAATCGCGAGCTCACGAGCGCGATGTTTCAAGCCAAACTCCTCGAGCGACTCGGGTGACGGCCCAATGAAGAGAATACCGGCATCTTGTAAGCGCCTAGCAAAGTCCGTATTTTCACTAAGAAACCCTTCAAAGATATGTTAAAATATCGTAGGCCCCCCATCCTAATTCTCAAACATACCGTATCCAGGAATAACGCCTTGAATGTCGTGCTGTTGGCAAATTTCGACAACTTTATCGCTACAGAGGGCAATGAATATCCGTTTCGGAGCGGAAAGATCAGGGGACCTACATATCAAGATAGCCCTTGGTATCACTGTTCGAGAGCTCATACGCCTCATCAGCGAGTCTAACGTGAAGACTGCCAGCTTATCACAAAATCAGCTTCAGCCTTCGATATACTTGGCTCTAAAGTGATGTGGAGCCTACCGTCCTCTTCGACAAAAATTGCAACTGCCGTGATGCCAATCTGACAAATATCTTAGCTACTCGCCCTCCAACCTCGAGCATCACTACTTTCCGGGTTTGACTCACTTTGTTGCAAGCTTTAACAAGGCGCACGGCGATCTCGCCCCTGTTCGCCACGAGGACGCGTTTCAACTCCATGCTGACGAATAATTGTGGAGGTGCGAAAGGGAGGTCTTCTTGGGGTTTGCTGCGGCCTCTCACCTCTTGTTGCGTTGGAGTTGGCACCATTAAGTGACAAGTGTTGGTTTTTAAAAACGGCATTGCATTTGAACGTCTGGACGCTAGATTCTAGACACTAGCTGACTGTGTGCCGTTTCGAATTGCCAATGGAGGACTAGCCAAAGTACATTGCCGTGGGGCATTGACGTGCTAAACCGGAATGCCCGTTTTTCAAGTCCGTATCCTGGACGGTGTCACGGTGGGCGGTAGGCTGGATGCGGACGCCACGAAAAAGCAGCAAATTCGGCATTGTCGGGAGTGATCCGATTAGAGCTTGATAATCTGACCCGGCGTCGGGAATTCCTTGTGAAATTTGGTCCAGGTACTAGTAGTCATGCTCAGGCTTGTTACTTTGATTCTATCCTCCCCGGACCGGGTTCCCACAAGCTCGCGCGTGAGCCACGCAGCGTCCAAAGGGACTACTCGGCTTAGCGAGGGGGGTCGACTAATAGACCAACCCAGTAGTCAGGTGCCACGCGGCGGATCTGGGATCCCGGGACGAGTATTGATTGATTCGACTTCCCGTTATGGTGCTCCGTAACCCCCAACCAACATCCTTGACTGCATGTCGCTTCAACATCATTGTTTAGCAAGCCCGCAAAAATAACCTCCCGGGAATAGCGTCAACTGCCCCGAAATGGTTCGGCGATACGACCCCCAACTCTTGCAGCCAGGGACTGAGAAACTCAGAGGGTGGCAAAGGAGGAGAAGCACGTTCGGAGCCTTGCCAGGTCTGTCAAGCTCGCCAAAGCACATTGGCCTGTCCGTACTTGAGTTAAGTGAGCGCCTTTCCTTATCTTAAGACGGTAGGTCATTTGCAGTGTCTACGGTGGCTGTTCCTGGGCAGATTTTGTTCATACTCGTTCTTATATCAGTCGCAATCATGTTGAGCACAATAACATCAACCAAGGCTACACCAGCCGTGGATCTGAAGGCTGCTCAAAGTACCGTCACACAGATTCTTCCCACAGACGATGAATCCAAGACAGGTCCCTCCACAGAGCAATGCCTCGAGACTGAGTCGCGATACTGCATGGAAGGCATGGCCTCCCATCCCATCGTGATGAAGAGGGGCCAGGGATCGTTGCTCTGGGACATTGATGGCAAGAGATATATCGACTTCAATGCCGGTATGGCCTCCTGCAACCAAGGCCATTGTCACCCCAAGATTGCGCAAGCCATGATCGAGCAGTGTCAAACTCTGACAATGCCCTCCCGTAATGTTCACGTCCAGCAGTGCGGCGAATTCTGTAGGAAGATTTGCGAAATCACGGGCTTCGACAAGGTCGGCTTGGGGAGCAGCGGCGCCGAGGCCGTAGACCTCGCGGTCAAAGTCGCTCGCGCTTGGGGCTACAAGGTCAAGGGCATTGAGGAAGACAAGGCTCTTGTGCTGGCTGTCACTTCCAATTACCATGGCCGCACGCTCAGCCTTCTGTCTGGATCGACCAATGAGGCCTACAGAGCAAGTAAGTCGCCCTTTTGTAGTTTACTCAAGACACCTTGGTCTGGATCGTGGCTAATTTCGGAATATAGACTGCGGGCCTTGGATGCCTAATATCGGTCCCTATTGCGCTGGAAACGAGGTACGCTTCAACGTTATTGAAGACCTCGAGAAGGCGTTTCAGATTAGAGGTCATGAGATTGCTGGTTTTATGATCGAGGCCATCCAAGGGCAGAACGGGTGTCAGCCTGCGAGCAATGAGTACCTGGTCCAAGTTCGGGAGCTCTGCAATAGGTATAATGTGCTCTTCATTTGCGACGAGATTCAGTCCGGCCTTGGTCGAAGCGGCGAATGGTTCTCGTACCAGGCTTCAGGAGTCAAGCCTGATATGGTGGTGCTGGGCAAATCCCTCTCCGGCGGCTTGTTCCCCATCTCTGGTGTCTCTGGAAAGAAGGAAGTCATGGATTGCTTGACGGGAGATCAGTGCGTTCTACATATACTCAAGGCACACCCTGATTCAAGTTTGCTAACACGATTACAGGTACGGCTCGACCTTTGTGGGTAATCCCTTAGCCTGCACAGTAGGCATCGCGGCTCTAGATGTTCTTATAGAGGAAGATCTCCCAGCACGAGCAGCCCATCTAGGGGAAGCATTTACTCAACGCTGCTCGGCTATCAAATCTCCTCATTTTGACAGTGTCTCAGGTCGGGGCTTGTTTAGGAGCATGTGGATCAATGAGAACCATCCGCAGGGGCGCATCACAGCGCAGAAGGTTGCCAAACTATGTGTTCAACGTGGGCTGCTTGTTAACGCGAGCGGGCGAAGGCTGAGGACCTGTCCAGCACTCAATATCGACGAGGGTCTTATGATCCAGGGACTGGATATCATTGAGAAGGCCCTGGTCGATTTGGAAGCGATGGATTTTGAGTAGCTACGGGTTTAGTATTGATAGAGTATAGATCAAGGGGTTCAGGCTCAACTGAATATTGACTGAATCGTCCCAGACTTTCCAATGATGTCAACCGGTCTAGCAAACGTTATTCATGCGTCGGTAGTAGAGAGAACTCTACGAGATGTGCCATAAGGTGTAAAGTATGTATAGCCGCATGGCGCGATTCGGTTCGATTGAGGACCTCCCATTTAAAGCATGCCCTCGCTAATATCAACGCACTGCAGTACCCAAGGCACAATCCCACTACATCTTGCCCGCCGAGATTCGAGTCTATCAAGCCCAGCCGTCTCTCGATTGGAGTGCTCCCCAGATGTACAGTTGCGGGCGCCATTCGACTGTGAAGGAAACGCCGAGGCGACCATATAGCTTCAAAGGGCAATGCCACTTATCGCCCCCGTGTGGCCCCAATGGAACCGATCTAGGCTTCAAAGTGGAATTGGAAGACTGGCATGATGGGGCTATGGCAAGTTCCCAATGCATACGTGGGTATATCATCCCGAGCCCAATGTGGTCAAAGCACGCGAAGAAAGTCTACGCGCGATACGTGGACCTCCCTATCAAGTCCCTACTAAGATAAGTGGGAATCGTAGTCAGTAACTATTGGGAACGGTAGATGATTTATCATCGGTAGGTATTGGTTCGCGGAGTAGTAGGCAGTCGACACGCTGTCGCCACCGCCCGTCCTTGTATGTAATGCTGCGCTTTATGGGTTTGCCTGATCGGGTAGATCGAAACGATCCATGCTGTAAGGAAAAGAATAAAAAGAAAAGAAATTAGTCAAAATATGTGAACCCCACTGCAAAGCGCCGCTCTTTATGAATCTTGCCAGATCAGGAAAATCGAAACGCTCCACGCTTAGAAAGAAAATGATCCGATAGGCATATGAGGTCCGCCCGAAACGCTACTATGGGCGAGTCTCACATCCCTGCTTTGAGCACCGCAAGCTGGCGTAGCATAGAATTCGTTGTTTTCAGTCGTTTCGTTACCCGGTATGTCAATAAGCGCCTGACATTGCTTCTGCTATCCCTTCCGAGAAAGCATAAGCGAAACGCAGTGCGGGCATACTCATACTTGCCCCAGCTCTGGTATACTTAGTGTGGATTTGAAACTTTTGATGATCGTGTATGGTTGAATAAAAAAAAATTTCTCGCAGAGTTATATGAGCGTAACCGGCTCGATGTGTATTTGACCAGCTCGAATTACTGACGATTTTTATAATCTTCACTTAGAACTACTTGTTTGGTAATCAGCGGAATTCCTACCCTTCTGGCGATAACGGGTGTTGTTCTCCAATTTGCATACATTTCAATATGAACATGTCGCCAGGTCGGACCCAGGAGCTTTTGAGCACCCCCCCACCACCCGCTGCGGACGATGTACACGAGAACACGTGGTACAATCAAGACTTTGATGGCTACCGGATCTCTGAGTCGCCTCTTTTCACCAAGAGACACCTGCGTGTTGTTTGTGTAGGCGCGGGTGCTTCAGGGATACAGATCGCCTATAAAGCAGAGCGCGCTCTGCAAAATATCGATCTCCAAATCTACGAGAAGAATGGAGATATTGGCGGGACCTGGTTAGAGAATCGGTATCCTGGTTGTACTTGTGATATTCCCAGTCATTCGTACCAGTTCACATGGGATAGGAACCCGAACTGGTCCAACTACTACTCCTCCTCGGAAGAGATATGGAAATACATGAAGGATGTCGCAGTGAGACACGATTTGGAGAAATACATCAAGTTCAACACCACAATCGACAGCGCACTGTGGGACGAAGACGCTGGTAAATGGAAGCTTCATGCAGTCGGACCCGATGGTGCTGAAATCAATGATGAGTGCGACATTCTCATCTCCGCTTCTGGGGTGCTCAACTCGTGGAAGTACCCCGACATTCCAGGGTTGAAGCAATATCAAGGCAAGCTGATGCACTCTGCCGCTTGGGATGAGTCCTACGACCTGACGAGCAAGAAGGTTGCCGTCATCGGCGGCGGTTCGTCGGCCATCCAGATCATTCCCAGTATTCAACCCAAAGTTGGGAAGCTTGTGGCCTATTTGCGATCTCCAATCTGGATAACGCCTGGATATGCTGCCAAGTATGCTGGACCAGGTGGCAGCAACTTCGAGTTCAGTGCCGAGCAGCTCCGCAAGTTCAACGAAGATCCTGAGGAATATGACCAGTATTGCCGGAACGTTGAAGGTGAACTAAATCGACGATTCGCCATGGTGCACCGAAACTCAAAGGAGCAGGCCGCAGCTCGTGAAGCTGCTGCCAAGGCGATGGTGCAGAAACTTAACAACGAGAGTCTTGCGGCTGCTTTGGTGCCAGACTTTGCGCTGGGATGCAGACGCCCGACGCCCGGTCCGGGATACTTGGAAAGTCTGACGCAGGACAATGTTCAGGTAATACACAAGAGCGTCGTCGAGCTGACGGAAACGGGTATCATTGACGAGGCTGGTACCCACCAAGAGGTGGATGTGGTTATCTGCGCCACTGGTTTCAACACCTGTTTCACTCCTCACTTCAAGCTGATTGGCCGTAAGCAAGCGGATATCAAGGAGCAGTTTGGAGACTTTCCGGTTGGTTATCTCGGGATTGCGGCCGAAAACTTCCCAAACTTCATTCGTAAGTTGACCAAGATTATGCTGCATGAACCTCCCTTGAGTCATCTAGCTACATTGAAAGACCATAATCTTACTAATCGTTTCAGTATTGGCGGGACCAAATAATCCAGCAAGTCAAGGCTCAATTTTGCCAATCATGGAATGGTATACTCGATACGCATTCCAAGTGATCGAGAAGGTCCAGAGCGAAGGCATCAAATCCTTCGAGATCAAGCCATCCGCTGTCAAGGACCTCCATAACCACACCCATGAGTTGATGAAACGCATGGCGTGGTCATCAAGTCCGTTACTCCACCCGATAACAAAGCCGCGAGACGTTGCTAACATCTTGCTCCTAGCATGCCGCTCGTGGTTTAAGAACGGCAAGACCCACGGACCTGTCACCGCTGTGTGGCCGGGATCACGCCTCCACTTTTTCGAAATGCTGAAGAATGTCCGCTGGGAGGATTACAACCTCGAATACCAGACTGGTAATAGATTTCAATTCATGGGTAACGGGTTCTCCGGGGAAGAACTCAAACCAGATTGTAACCCAGTATGGTACTTCGATGACTGGTTTGTAAAATTGTGAGATTGTGGAGGGATCACAATATAAGTATAGCCATTAGCTAAAGTCATTATCAAAGTCGGACCGAGACATATCAATTCAAGTTTAGTCTGTGCCTCAACAGCTGGGTTGAAGCCAAGTTATACACCGCATTTCGGGAATTGCTCTGATTCCAACTCAATCATGAGCAACAACAGGCAGTTGTAGACGGTTCAACTGAAAGACTGTCTACAACGTATAGAGTCATTAATGTTAACGCCAAATTATCCTGAATTATGAGTGTTCGCGAGACTGTCCGCCTGGTCTTCTGACGTATGATTTCGATAGTTTCGTTTATTTGCAGGTGTAGACCGAAAGTCCAGGCGCACCGCCCATACCACCGAGCTCAATTTCAAAGCAGCACCCGGATCCGCAAATCTCGAGGAAATGACACGGCACACGAACTAGACCGTTCCATCTGTAATCTGAGACTGGCAATAGATAGTTCGTCTGCCGAGGCTTATTTCAATAGATCCACTAGGCCTTGTGATTCCGCTAGGCTGTCTTGGAGAACTCCAGACCGGCCCATCTCATGGGCGATTCAGGCCACCCAGCTTTGTCTCTGTACCTGATTGCCTATCCTATCCTGGGGTCTAGGCTCTGGTCTCAGCGGCGATTTAGTATGATCCGTACTCTGCTGTAAGATATGGACCCCCCTCCCTCAATGCCATCTTATGGCTAGCAAATTACAATGCACGATAAAGGATTGGAGGTTCCCAAGCATAATTAAGGTTCGAATAAACAAGCCTTATCATCACGGACAGTCAATATGAAGATAGCGAAAGAAAGGCACTAGCAATGGTAGAGAGCTTGGCCAGTCTCCCTAGGTTTCTATCGGTAGGTCGCTCACACCAAGCCGGGAACGGCTCGACGAGTCGACTCTGCCGCAGCTGAGATGCCACACAAACGTTATCAGTCGGTGCACAGCCTAGGCGCTCTCAATAGGTGGTATGTAATCAGTCTATAACTGGAGTGGTGTAACGCATAGCCCGCTTTGGAATAGCCCTGCTTTTAGCTCGCCGTTATCATAGCGCTAGCAGTCGCCCAGAATCCCTGGTGCGCTGACTCGCAGGTTGAAATGACTGGGTGGGATTCTCGAGTGGTTTACGCAGCAGCCCCCACAGATCCCAAGAATTTCATTATCAGGGTTTGAGATATCCTGGGGAAAGCTTGCCTTGGCCCTGCAGGGATCACGTATCTAATCGCCTGGCTTCATTTTCCATGTTGACTTGACTGTGAGCCTCAAAGTATATATCTTCATCTCCTTCCCTCCCTCGCCTCGTATGCTAGGGCACCTCTCTGCTCTCCTTCATCCTCAATGAATCCAAATCCGTTCGCAATCATCTGAGTCTCTTTCACGGCCGCGAAAAGCCCCAAGCTTCCACTGCAGCTCTTCACCAAGAGTGAGATACTCTCGGGCCGTCGCTCAACAGTTCTTCGGGCGTACTGCCATAAACAAGACAAGCATGAGGACCGTGTCAGAGTTACGGGAGAATGTCAACCAGCGATGGACAAGCGTCCAGGAGAACCTAAAGTCCAAGACCACTGCTGAGGGATGGGTCCTCCCACGCAAACATGGCTCATTCGCCGACGAAGGATCTTGGTATGTAAATCACGAATAATTGCTTAGCAACCGAGGTACTTACAAGCTTTCTGTTAGGTCCAATGTAGATATGGACGTGACCCCAAAGGAGCGGCGAGTCTGGGGCTCTTGGATTATGCTCGGTTACTGGTTCTCTGACGCCGTTCAAGCCAACGCTTGGCAAAGTCCTGCTGCTGTTCTTGCTATGGGCTTGACCTGGTAAGTCTCTTATAACACCGACACTCCTCGATCCAAGTTGTGTTGGCTAACAATACCTTCAAGGCGCGAGGCTCTGATTGCTGTCATCTTTGGCCCTTTGACAAACGCAGTTCCTCTTGTTCTTAATGGGATGATAGGTGCTAGGCTGTTCGTTCCTTTCCCAGTTATTGCGAGGGTAAGCAGCTCTTTCATGCATCATAACCCTTGATCAAATTCCGCCAAGTCGAATCCTGTTGCTAATGTAGAAACGGCAGGCATCCTTCGGGTGGTACTTCTATCGAGTTGCAGTTGGTACTCGAGTTGCTGCTGCTTTGTTCTGGCATGGATACCAGACATACACCGGCACGACTGCCCTGACGCAAGTCATTCGATGCATTTGGCCATCTTACCTCGACATTCCGAATCATATTCCGGAGAGCGTGGGTATTACCACTCAGGGAATGCTCAGCTTCTTCCTTTTCTGGGTGATCCAATTCCCCTTCATGCTTGCCACTCCACACAAGTTAAAGTGGCTGTTCGTTCTGAAAGGAGGTGAGCTATTATTAAGTCTATAGGCGACCTACAAAAGGACTTGAGGATCCAGGGAGGGCTAACCGGCGATAACATAGTTATGGTTGTTGTAACATCCGTCGCCGCGGTGATTTATATGACTTCATTAGCGGGAGGTGCTGGAGATATGTGGAACCTACCTTACGAGGTCCACGGTTCTGAACGCTCGTGGATGGTCATGTCTGCTATTTCGGGTACCACCGGTGGATGGTCAGTTTGATTGCTTGAGATTGATCTGGCACTTTCTAATCTGTGAATCGCAGGGCTACGCTATCGGTTAACATCCCCGACTTTACGCGATACCTTAAAAACGAACGTGCCGTCTGGTGGCAGATTGCTTTCCTTCCTGGTGTCAAGTTGTGGCTTGGGTTGATTGCCATTATTTGCACTTCTGCTGGCAAGGTTGTGTATGGCGAATGGTATGTCCGAACGCACACTCGATACTCTTTACCAAAGCTGACCATATTCTAGTAAAACCCCCCTCCCCGTATTAGAACCCCGTGTAAGCATTCGAGACTAATTTTCTGTTTAGATATCTGGGATCCCGTAAAGCTGTCTGCCAAGTGGACCACACCGGGCGGCACCGCACTCTGCTTCTTCTTTAATTTGTCATGGGTGATCGCTCAGATCATGGCCAACTTGTCGACGAACGTCATCACAGCTGCCAACGATATTTGCTGCATTTGGCCAAAGTGGGTAAACATCCGACGAGGTGCTTTGCTCACTACGATTGTCGCTTGTTGGGCGCTTCAACCTTGGCAAGTTGTCAAGCACGCAACATCCATACTGACCTTCATGTCTGGTGTCGGCATATTCCTCGCCCCCATGGCCGCCATTATTGGTGCCGATTACTGGGTTGTCCATCGCCAACGTTATGATGTGCCGGCTCTGTACAAAGCCCGCGGCCGTTATCGTCACGGTGTGCTGGGCACAAATTGGCGAGCTGTGGTTGCCATCGTCGTCAGCCTTGGGCCTAGCATGCCCGGATTGTGAGATTCCATGTCCTTGATTCAAGCGTGCAACACTGACCGAAAGTCCATCCAGCGCCGCTTCCCTAGACACAAGCCTTAAGCCCTACATTGGGAACGCCATTTACGTGTACTACATGTATTACTTCTACGGCTTTACGAGCGCTTTCGCCGTCTACTCGGGGCTTAGCTATCTGTTCCCTGCCAGGGAAACATATGTTCCTCATTTGATCACTGGCGAGGAATCACTCACGCCTACGGAAGGTGTTGACATGGAAATTGATACAGAGAAGAACGGGACATCGAAGGTGTACTCTGAAGAGGCTTCCAAGAGCAGTTGAAGAAAGTGTGAACTATGGTAATGGCTCTGAGGTAAATCACGGAGTGAATGGTAATCTTGCTTCTGTCATACCACATCTTCATGAGTGGCGTTATACGCAAGTGTTATCTGTGCTTGAACACATGTGTTCTGAACCTTCTCGCGACCATTCTTCGAGATATGAAGCTTGGTATGGTCTTCCACGTATCCTTACGTATGAGTACAACCCTTGACTTAATCGAACGGGACCCGTGCCGTTAAAAATTCAGATGCTGATCAGCAAGATGGATGAGTCCTCTCCTACTAGTCCTCGTACACACTTCTTCAGCACGTACCTGACGCTCGCGAGAACCGCCAGTCCGGGGCAGTGAGCTGTGGAATCCAGGCTAAGAAATCCAATTCCTTCCGTCGCTCGGCCCGGTATAGCTAGGCATTCAGCATCCATCATCATCAACCTATACCGAGTAGTAGTAGTACTTGGATGCAATTGGCTTCACTAGCTCAGATCTCGGTCAGGAGGAATTTGCCTTATTGACATTCTTAGTAATCTAAGACTCCGTTTAGACTTAGACTTATAGATAGTAACTCTCTAAAGATATAAGCTTGATAAGGTAAAGGAGGTAATTATTTAGAGAGTTAAAGGGATATATATATAGTATTAATATTATATTATAAATAAAGACCTCCCTAATAGATTATACTTATTATATATAGACCTACTTTAAGGATTAGAGTATCTAGAGTAATATACTCCTCTTATAGAAGAATAAAGAGTAATTAGAAGTATAATACTCCTAATACTCTATATAGAATATATATATATATATATTTATTTCTATAGCTTAGATACTCTTTTAGATAGTTATTAATAATATTATCTATATATTTATTATTACTAACTTTATAATATTTATATATTAATAATAACTTATATTATATAATCTAAAATAATTTAATTATACTACTTAGAATAATATCTAATTAGTTTAATTCTAATTTATTCTAGATTTCTATTTAATATAAGCTATTTAATTATTATATATTAATAACTCTTATTTAGCTAATTACTTTATCTTAATTACTATATAATAATAAAGAAGATATTATAGCTATTATAGTATCTTAAGCTTAATAGTAGAATACTTCTATTATTAATAATACTCTACCTGCTCTAACTATTAAGAATAATACTATAGATAAGAATAGTAATAATAATAGTAATAATAATAATAATAATTATACTAAAGAGATATAGCTTTTATAAGATTAAATTAATTAGCTTTATATATATTTTATAGATATCTACTAGGAGTTAATAAATATAATAAATATTATAATATAATAAGCTATTATAAATATTAATCTCTATACTTAAGCTATAATTATTATTTAAAGAAGAGAGCTAGAATAATTATTTAAGCTATTACTATCTAAGATATTTAATAGAATATAAAACTAGCTTTAGAGATTTATAATCTAACTCTAAGTATATTTTAATTATTTTCCTATTATTCTTAGAACTAATAAAAGAAAGATTATATATATCTATTTATAATTTAAAGAAGCTATATTTAATTAGTTTAAACTTATTATAAGAGATTATTTTAGTAGATAAGGAGATTAATAAATTATTAATATTATAATAAGTTTTAATTACTTTATAAAAGTTCTCTAATAAATCTTTAAAATCTAAAATAAGAAGTAAAAAGTAGAATATAAAATTTATCTATTTACTTAGAAAGAATTATATATAATCTTTAGTACTAAATATCTCTAGTTTTTAGCTAAAACTAGATAGAATAAGAAATAAGCTATATTTTATTATTTTAATAAACTAAAGAAAGAAATATAAAAAAAACTCTATAAAAAAAACTAGTTAGTAAATATTTATAAATATATAACTATAGCTATAAGAATTAATAATTAATAATATTAATAGTAAACTTATAATAAGAAAATAAATTACTTTATTAATATTAAAAAGCTATAATAATAATATATTATAATCTCTGGAATATATACTAGTTCTATAGAGTTAGAAGCTATAGAAAAATATAAATATTATAATTATAATAAAATTAGATATATTTTATCTTAATATCTAAAACCTAAGAAAGAGAAAAAGAAAGATTAGAAATCTATTAAGAAAGATAAAAGATAATTAAGAATAATAAGAAAAACTAAAACTAAAACCCTTAAAATAATTAGAAAGATCCCTTAGAAAGAAATTTCTATAATTATTATAATTTCTAAATTTCTCTTAAGAAATATATCTATCTTTAGAGAAATACTAGAAGAAGAAAAATATAAAAAATAAAGTATATTTAGAAAATAATAAAAGAAAATTTAATAAATCTTTTAAAAGCTTAAAGAAAAATATAAATAAGAAGAATAAGTTCTAGAATTCAGATTATTTACTAAATATTAAAGCAGAGATAAAAGGTCCAGGTTCTATAAGTTATACCGCTTAGCAGCCTAGTTAAAAGAAGCTGTTTTTACAGTCTAGAGAGAAATTTATACTTTTTTCTTTATTTAATTAAGACCCTAACTTATAACTACTAAATAAATTAACTATTTAATTATAAAGCCTTATAAAGCCTCTATTTAATTAAGACTAGCTATAGCCTTAAGAGATACTATAATAAGTATTTAAAATACTTCTATTATAAGAGATCCCTCTCTTCTTAATCTATTTAATCTCTTAAGATAAGGAAGATCTTTATATAATAAATCTAACTATAGATAATAAAGCTATTAACTAATATAATAACTACTATATACTATATACCCTTATTATATAGTTATAGATATTATATATATATATAGCTTTCTCTCTTACTATTTTAAATAAAGACTACTCTAGGAAATACTTCTTTATTCTTTATAAGTAGAAAGCTTCTTATAAAGATAATTTTTATCTTAAGAGACTAATAATATAAAAAGAAATAGAAGTTATAAAAACTCTAATAAGTCTGCTCTTATAAACTATCTTCTTAACTAGAGATTATAATAGGAATATTTTCTTTTTCTTATATATAAGTACTTTTAAAAGTAAATAGTCTAAAGATTATAATACTAGATAGACTTCTAACTAATTATTTAGTTAGAAAGAAATACTATCTATAGAAATTAAATATTATTCTTATTTTAATCTATTTATCTAAAAACTTAAGTCTTAGTAGAATAATAAGCTTAAGAAAAGACTTTTTAAATATCTATATATCTTATAAGATAATATAAAAACTAAGTAAGTAATATTATTTACTTTAGTAAGAAATCCCCTTAGCTAGAAGGTATTCTTATAGATATACTTACTTATAACTAACTAATCTTATAAAAGAAACCTCTATTAAGAAAGAAATAAATAAGCTAATCTAGAGATTATTCTAGAAGAAAACTCTTTAAATAGATACTCTTAATCTAACCCTAGCCTAATAAGAATACTTACTTAATAGTTAATCTAGAAGTAAGAAAGTTATAATAAAGGAAAGTATAAGTCTAGATAGTATATACTTAAAGTAAATCTTAGAAGTTATAAATCCTTAGTATTCCTCTTAATCTAATTAGTACTTTTCTAATAGTTTAAACTAGAAAAGTAATCTATAATTAGAAAAAGACTTTAAAGGAAGTAAGATAAAAGATATACTCTTAGAAAGAAAGTTTCTAGCTCTCTCTTTAATCTAGTAACTATTTATTCTATAGATTATTTAGAATAAAAGTTTTATAATTAGAAATTAAACCTTAAGAATATATAAAAGAGAGAGAAATATATATATATTTTATATACTATTTAGATTATAATTTCTACTAAATTTTTTATAATAATTAAAATAAGCTAAATAGTAAATAATAAACTTATATAAAGAAATTAAGTATAGCTTTAAGAAGCTCTAATCTAAAAAGAGAATAGATAGTATAAAGTAATTCTATTACTAAGTCCTAACTATTTCTAGAGGAAGAAAAAAGTAAAAAAGTAAATCTATAAGTAGGAGATATATTCTAAAGCTAAGAGATTACTCTTCTTCTCTCTTTTAGCTATAATATAAGAATTATTTTTATATATACTTATTAATTTCTTATTATTTAATTAATTAACTAGAAGTATAATTTCTCTATTTAAGTAAAACCCTTATTAGATTACTAGCTCTAAAACTAGCTTATCTCTAGATATAATAGGGAGAAATAGTAATAGTTCTCTATAATCTTTAATCTCTTAAAGAAACCCTAATATAATAATAAAAGCTTTAAAAGATACTTTTACTTAGTATTATAAGCTAAAAGTAGCTAGTAAAAAATCCTCTAAGAATAATAGTAATATAAAGAGCTATTTCCTAATATCTAAAACTCCTAATTCTAGTATTAGTTAAGATATTACTATTTAAAGTTTAAATAATATTAATATTCTTTCCCTTAAGAAGATATAGTCTCTATTTAGACCTCTAGATAATTATTACTTTTATAGAAGAAGATCTTTAGATTCTAGATCTACTTATTAAGACTTATTAGAATTATTTAAATATCTTAATTCTAGATAAGAAAGTACTATATCTAGTACTTAGATTCTAATACTAAGCTCTAAGCCTAGTAATTTTTACTAAATAAATACTTCTTCCTTTCTTAATAATTATTATAAGAAAGAAAAAGATATCTATAGTATATCTACTTCTAAGATTAGAAAAGAAAAAAAGAAAAAATAGTAAAAGAAACTAAAGCTAATCTAGATACTAATAGTATAATTATCTAAATAAAAAGCTATTTATAAATAATACTCTATTTAGTAGTAACTCTTCTAAGTACTTATTAGAAGTCTTTTATAATTAGTTTTTATTATAAAATAATATCTAATCTAATAATAATCCCTTTAGAATAATACTATTTAATATAAACTTTATATAAGCTACTAATTAAATATTTATAAACTTCTTTAGTAGTATACTATAATTATATATAATAAACTTTCTAATAAATAGTAAATTTAATAGAAAAGATATTTCTAATTTTATTATAGATCTTAAAGCTAAC